AGTAGACCCTGTTGGTCAGTGAGTGAAAATGAAAACAAACAACAATTGGTGGAAGACCACATAACCACCTACCGTCAATCGGCCAAATGCTTTCTTCTTGTACGGGGCACTTAGCCTGTCCTCTGGGTTACTTGCACCGTTGGAGACGCGGGGATGGTCGTGAAGTTCCCCTGCGTATTTTATCTTCATCGCCGCCGGTGTCGCTTGGGGCATGGAGGACTCGGACGATGCTCGGTCATTGCGCTCGCAATATGTAGGAGCCGGCGGCGCGAGGGTAGGCATTTGGCTGGGAGGACAGGAGTCGATACTTCTGCTGCTGACTTGAGAATCCTTGTGGCAATGACCGGTGAAGCGACTCGGTGTCAGGGACAGCGACCGGGTATCCAGAACGCCTATCCCAGTGGTATCCATGCCGCCGGCCCCCAGTGAGGAAGGCAGCGAGACACTGGAGGACGCCGCGTGCGCTGCTGGACGCATCAGCTCAGCTCAGCAATCTCCCTCCACCTACAACCCGGCAATACCGGACCACCCACCGTTCCGCGGCGCAGCCGCCTCATCCAGCGCCACACCCAACGACGAGACCGACCCCCGGTTATCCTCGTGTCCGTGTCCATATTCCCCAAACCGTGGAAACGAGACCATCCCCGTTGTCGTCGTGGTCCACGACCGAAACATCTCCTCCAGCGTGGTGTTTTCAGTGTCCTCCCTCGCACCGCCAGATGCTATCGTGCTCTCCGCCTCGATCCCAGCAGTGTGCCGCCTGTCCCCGGCCCCAGCAGCCGGAGAACTACCCATCGGGGCGCCATTAATCGTGAACTGGATCTTACTCGCAGCCTGAGTATCATCATCACCAGCTAGTCGTGGCGAGGAAACCCCGGGGTGGGCCATCGCTTCGGCCTCGCTTCCATCCACCCCTGCAGCAGCAGCACCACCACGACGACCCGCCCCCTCCCCCGGCATCTCCTTCCGCTTGACCCGCCATTTACGCTGGATCCGTATCCCTGGGTACGGGTACGCTGGCTTCGGCGCCGGCGGCAAACTTCCGAAATGCACGGTATGGCGCTTGCGGTTTGTCCCCGGCGTGGTGGTGGTCGTGGTGGCGGTCGTCGTCGTCGTCATCAAGTCCAAAGCTGCGGCGTTCTGCTCCAGCTCGGTGAGCGGGAGAGGGCTGCGGTAGCCCCGGAATGCTTGGAAGCCCTAGATTTCCTCACAGCCACGCGCCAACATGATTAGATCGAAGTGCACGCAACAATGAATGGACAGGGGTGAGTGAAACGGAAGAACTAAGAACAATGCGGACTGGGGCTGGGGCTGGGGCTGGGGCTGGGGCTAGCGAGTATTTGTTGTTGTGATTTTCTTTTGGGTTTGTTTGATTCAAGCATCGAGACAAGAGACAAATATGATTCAATTATACGGCATGGTATCAATAGGCATAAACATAGGCATAAGCATAGTCACACACACAGAGAATGTACACACACACACACACAGACAGACACACACATACTCGCTACCCAGAATGAAACAGAAAGAAAAATTAAGAATCTACCTTCTCGGAATGACCCCCGATCCCGCCTCCCTTCAGCTTACTCCGGCCTCGCGCGAACAGTCCCTTGGCCGCTTCGCCTGCCCGCCCGCCTAGCACCCCGGCCGAGTGCAGCAGCTCCTTGCCCCGTTGCTCGACCTGCTGTTTATTCATCATGGCGCCTAGCGGGGCGGACGGGCGGCGCGCGTGGCCGCCGGCACTTATTCCGGATCCCGAGGGCGCACCGCCGCCGGCGGACACGTCGAGCTGCGAGGAGGACCCGAAATTGCCGAGCGACGAGAGCTTGGGGAATTTCTTGCGGGTGACGCCGGCGCCGGCGCCGGCCCCTAGCTGGGGCGGCACGGCGCCGGTGGCCAGCTTGGCGCTCTTGTCGACGACGTCCGCGTGCTCCGGGTGCGAGTGCACGGTGACCTGGATCCAGTGGGCGAGGCCCGTGTCGATGGTGGCGAATTTGGCGCGCGTGTCGTTGAAGGCCTGCACCCGGTCCTCGGGGGTCTTCATCGCCAAGATCTCGCGGAAGCCGAGGAGGGTCGGTTCGACTGAGGCCGGGGCCGTCGGTGTCCATCGCGGGATTTGCTGGTGTTGGTTGTATTCTCCGGAAAATGCTGGTGCGTTGTTGTCTTGGGTAGTGTCGGCATAGCTGTTCGGGATGGCTTCCGCGTGGTAGACTTCGGGCAGTTGTCCGTCGGAGATGGTACTCCGATCGTCGGGGACCGGGGGCAGGATGGTTAGTTTGGGCTTTTCGGTTTCAGGCCCGACCGAGCTGTCGCTCTCCTCGGGGGTTTTGTTGAGGGGCTCCTCCTCGGAAGTAACGGTCTGGGCTGGTATGGCTTCCGCCGGTATAGCTTCCGCCGCGGTGGGACTCGTCATTTCAGGCGCCGGAGATGGTTGAACTGGGGTCTCACGGGAGACAGGAAACTGTCCCGGCATGGGAGCAGGAGGTGACTGCACACCTGCTGCCGGTGCAGGCTCCTCGGAGGAGGAAGAAGACTCCCACGAGAAACGTCGTGCTAATTTTGGCTTGGAAGACTCCGTTGCAGGGGATGTGATTGGCTCGGAGGCAGCAGGAGGCAAGTCCTGAATGGTTGATCCCTGCAGAGCAACCGGAGAAGCGACGTAATCTGGAGTGGCCTGGTCAAGGGCTACAGGGCTTGTAGTAGACTCTGCAGCGCTCCAATACCTCTCGTATTCGCTAGGTATGAGGCTGTCCTGGCGTTCAGCCTCTGGCCGACTTGCGGGCTCCTCTTCCTCTTGCTCCTTTGAGGGCGTGGTCTCGCGACTCAATGTCCGCATAATCTCCTTTCGCAGGCGGTCACTCTCCGTGTCTTGGGGCGAATTGTCGGTGCTCATGGAGGGTATAATGATAGGCACCCCATCATGCGTGAGTGTAGGTGCCGACGTCACAGGGTGGGACCCGATGCTCAGAGGAGCAGGGTGATCGGGACCGGATGCTGCGTCGTGCACAAGAGCTTCCTGCGGCGTTTGTTCGCCTGACCGTGAATCAAAGGAAGACGCGACAGGTGTCTCCACAGACATCTCGCCTGCTGCGGACGGATGGGCGCTTTGAACATTGGTGATCCTAGGGGTCCTCGAGGGGCTGTTGTTCGGACTGGGCAGGCTAATATCTCGACGATGACCCGGTTTGAAGACTAGGGTGTCACTCGCATCCTTGGGCGGGGGTGTTCTCTCGCCCGGCTCCTCCAGAATCGTGGGTGTTTTGATATCGCTCTGGCTTCGCTGCGGTATGATGGGACTGATCACCGAGGTACTATCGCTGTTCGACCGTGCAACACTGTCGACCGTCGTACTGGGAGTGTCAGGTACATCGAAGGCTTGATGAACCACAGAACGGAATCCCATGGACGGATTGTGCTGCAGTTGGTGTTGCTCAGGTTCTGGCCCTTGGGCTTCAGAAGCAGAGAAATACGAGTCGCCCGAGAAGTCCGGGGCGAAGCTTGAAAGACGTTCCACATCTGGAAGCTGAATTGTTGGTGCGCTACCTCCTGCTGCCTCGGCTGGGTGAGAGAGTTGAAGCGCTTGCGCATCCTGCCCGCCGTCAACAGCGCCTTGCGGTCGGAAAGGCTTGTAGTCACCTGTCACGGCCGGTGCTTCGTTGCTCGATGGGAAGTGGAGTTCAGCAGACGTCAGGCCTGGAATAGTTGCTGTCGCTGTCGCTGCCGCATTGGAAGGACCTGCGCTTGACTGAGCGCCGCTGCGATCCTGCGGCACCGCGCCTTCTGATCTCATCCGCTTGTATATATCGACCGGGCGAACGATTGGGACGGTGCGTGTAGCAGGCTCGACCGGGCCTGCAGGCTGTGCGCGAACCGAATCTCCTCCAAGAGTCGCGACTTGGTCCATCGATCGAGATCGATCCATCGAAGGGAGTGGCGGTCGGGAGACGTCCCTCGTGAACATGCTCGGAAGATCCCCGGTGCTTTGATTCAGGTTGTGTTGCGGAACCGGTGGAGGCTCGTCGTCATCATACTCGCCGTACTCATCGTCGCCCCAGTCATTTCCATCGTACGAGTACTTCTTCGCTTCTACCCAGCGTTTTGTCTTTGCTCGGTTGACATTAGGCTTGAAAGATACAGGTGTTTCTCCGCGCGGGACTGGCGACATAGGACTTTCTGTGTTGGAGGAGCTGCAGACCGAGGCGTCGGGATATATTAGTACAGTCCAGTCCAGTGGTGGGCGAAAGGGGTGGCTGCATGGACTCACAGCTTCTGTAGCTCGGGCTCATAGGGCTGAAATGGACGGGCCATTGTTCTCACACGACTAACTACCCTGATCAGCAAGGCTGGATCGAGAGCTGATTTCAACAGTGCAGGTGGTGTTTAAAATGGATGATTGGCATGTCCAGTGCCAAGAGTGAATGTCAGAATTGAAACGAGTGACCCCAGTCAAAGGCGCGGTGAGCGCAAGGTGTTGGGCGGGTGTAGATGACGTGGGAGGAGGAGGAGGAGGAGGAGGAGGAGGAGGAGGAATGGGGGCAGTGCGCCAAGAGACGGGGCGGTGCACGGAAAGAAAAGTGACGTCGAGATGGGCTGAAGCCGTTATTTTTAAAACAAGTGGGATAAAGAGCTCTTGAAAGTGGGATCCCACCACGATAAATGAGCTGCGATAACGTTCTTTGAGGTGGTTGGATTGAATTGAATTGAATTGAATTGAATGGGATCGGGTATATGATCTCAGCTTCAATCTGCCCCTGATTCCACCCAACCTGAACGGTCATTGGCTGGTTTGATGGCCGCCTACCGTCCCAAAAGGGATCAGCTGTGGCTGGTGTGGAGCTTGGTGGCTAGTGTCAGTGTGGGGTGGCTGGTGTGTGCACGTGGCTGGGCTGGTCACTAGTCCTAACTAGTAACTAGTAACTCGTAACTAAACCAGTTGGTGAATTTGCTGCATTGCCGCTTTCGCCCCGTCCTCCACTTCCACTTCCACTTCCACTTCCTCCCCCATTCCTCTCGTTCATCATGACTATCTCGTTGTAATCTCCGCCTCTCTTCCCCGTCAACACATTGACTCTCCGCTTCTCCTTTCCTCTCTTCCCCTTCCCAACCCAAGTAACGTGCTCTCCACTATCTCTCCCTAAGTCGACCTCCGTCTCCGCCCCGACGAAAACGAACGGACACGTCTCCAGTCGCCTGCCTCCTTATCGATTAGTCCGGACTCCGTGCCGTATAATCAATCCCCTCCCCATCGCACCGCACCCGACCGTTGGTTCTAGATTCGGCGATTGGCATCCCTTCGACTATCCTCGGAGTATAGTGATTGTGCCTCGCTTACTGCTCACGTCCATCGCACCTTTGCTCAATCGACCTCCCCATCCACCACCACCACCCTACCAACGACCCTCACACGCACAATGGCCGGCCCGTCCATCCAGGATCGCACGGGCGAGTTCCACGCCATTCTCGGCCAGGCCCAGAAACGCCTAGCCTCCAGCAAAGTCGGCCCTCAGCGCCAGGCCCTCCTGTCCGATGCGCAGCGCCGACAAGCCAATGGGTCCGCCGATGCACAACACCCGGGGAAGCGACGGTCGGAGTTTGCGCGGAGAGCCGTGGAGATCGGACGCGGGATCACGGCGACGACCGCCAAGTTGCAGCGGCTGGCTGAGTGTGAGTCGGCCACCTCCCCGAAACCTTGCAAAGGCTGACTGGGAGAATTTTGGGGTGTTTAGTGGCCAAACGCAAGACACTCTTCGACGACAGACCGGTCGAAATCTCCGAGTTGACCTATGTCATCAAGCAAGATCTCGCTTCCCTGAACCAACAGATCGCCTCGTTGCAAGCGCTCACCCTCTCCCAACATCCGAAGAACACTCGGTCCAAAGCGGACCAGGAAGGCGAGCATAATGATAATGTAGGTCCCATAAAAAATGACAAAATACACGAGGCTAACGATCAACGCAGGTGGTCGTGATGCTCCAAGGCAAACTGGCCGACGTGGGCGCCAACTTCAAGGACGTCCTCGAAGTGCGCACGAAGAACATCCAAGCGTCGCGCTCGCGCACCGAGAACTTCGTCTCCTCCGTCTCGCAGAAGTCCCACACGGCCCTCGACCCCCAGCGCTCCGACTCCCCGCTCTACAACCCCTCCGGCCGGCGGACGCCCCAGCCCGGCGGCGGCGGCGGCGGCGGCGCGGACCTTTTGACTCTGGAACCCACGAACCCGTCGCCGCTGGGCCGGCCGTCGATCCACTCGGACCAGCAGCTCCTCGTGATGGAGGAGGCGCAGACGAACAACGCCTACATCCAGGGCCGCGGCGAGGCGATCGAGGCGATCGAGCGCACCATCAGCGAGCTGGGCGGGATCTTCGGGCAGCTGGCCCAGATGGTCAGCGAGCAGTCGGAGATGATCCAGCGCATCGACGCCAACACGGAGGACGTGGTGGACAACGTGCAGGGCGCGCAGCGCGAGCTGATGAAGTACTGGACCCGGGTGTCGGGCAACCGCTGGCTGATCGCCAAGATGTTTGGCATTTTAATGGTATGTAGCCCTCCGCCCTTTGCTATAACCTTGCAGCGAAATCCACTCAGCTAACCCATGAACCAGATCTTCTTCCTCCTCTGGGTGTTAATATCAGGATAAAGACACCCTTCCCTCTCCCTCAAACACAAACCCCTCCCCCTCAACATAATGTATTAATACCAGGTCCATGTTCGTATCTTGCTGCGCCTGAACGAAATCATGTAGCCCTCCTTTTTTTTTTTTTCTAATACACCGCTACACCCTTTCCTTTGTGATATGTGTGTGTGAGTGAGTGTATGTGTGTGCATGACCTACCTCACGCAGGGGGCAGGCTTTGCCCGCCCTTCTTCATTCTTGCTTCTTTCCAATTCGACCCAACCATTTTGGCCATGGCTAGATCTTCCATGTGAAACCCTTTTCATCTCTCTGCCGAGTGCCCATGTCACTACTACCACCGCCAACGCCATCCCCCCAAATCCCTCCTTCCCGTCGTGCTTGACAGTTGAAACGCAAGCATGACTTCATGTGCATAATGGGCTCACGAGTGTCGTCGTTGTTGTTGTCTGTTGAGTAAAATAGAATCAATACCTGACCTCTAACACCCCCGCCATTCAATATTTCCCGTTTGATGATTGATGAAGTGGAACAGTAGTAGATTCTTTATGAGCGATGCGGCCTCGCTTGAGGCACGAGTAAGAGTATCGAGAATAAGTATACATAGTACAAGAGGGAGTATATACCGTTTGTACAGCTCACCCATATCCCAGCCATATCACAGGCTATAGGCTATAGGTCTATAAATATAAAAACCCCCCCACCCCCCCTCCCCGCAACAAGCCGAACCAACCAACCTACAAACAAACCGCACACCCTAACCGCGGTCCCCCACCATGCAGTACCCTTACCACCTCGGGCGCATGCGCCCCCAGCCCCCGTTCGCGGATTGCCCGCTCCGCCGCGGCGAACCAGATCTCCTGCAGCCGGGGCACCATGCCCGAATGGCCGGTGTCGGGGGGGTCGGTTTGGTCGTCGCCCACCAGCGCCGCTAGGTAGTCCCCGTAATCGCGGCGCATGTGCCATAGGAAGTCCATGCGGTGGGACCAGTGGGTGTGGGGTTCGGAGTGGTGGGGGTGTGATTGTGTTTGGGTAGGTGGATGGTCGTTGTGGTTGTTGTTAGGGTTGTGGCTGTGATGGTGCTGGCGCTGGTGGTCATGCTTCTCGGTTTTCTTTCGGGGGCCTGGCTGCTGTGGGCTGGAATCGTCGGCCGCAACGGCGACGAAGAGATCGACGATGCGTTCGAGGGTGGAGGTGGTGAGCAGCAGACTGACCCATGTCTGGGAGGAGGTGTAGGGGATGTCCGGGGCCATGAGGTGGCGCACGGTGTGGATGAGGGTGTGCATGGTGTGGTGGGTGGCGAGCAGGACGTCGGGGTCGGTGAAGGGGGGTTCCTGGAGGATGCGTTCCTGGCAGTCCAGGGAGTGGGTTGGGCTGGTGGTGTCGGCGCAGGATTCCAGGAAGTAGACGAGGTAGGTTCTGGGATGCGGCGGATTAGCCTTGACCTCGATGAAACCCGGGGTAGTGAGGGCATACATCGATGGGAGCAGGCGGGCTTGCAGTGCGCCGACGCCCTTGCTGTAGACGAACTCCTTCTCCGTCTTGGAGGAGGCCCATAGCTCCCGCGCCGTGGGATCGGTCTCAAGGTAATGCTGCACCAGGTATTCGGCCAGGTAGAAGGACAGCCGCACGCAGGTCCGCCAGCATCGCGTGAGATCGGTCAGGTAGCCGAACGAGTAGTCGGGCGATTCTTCCAGCGTGCCGCTCGGGGTGTAGTGGGGAGGCGGGGGCGGGAAGAGATCAGATACGAAAGTGAGGTCGTCGCCGATGGCGACGTTGGGTTCCTGGCACTTTTGAAGGTGGTATTGATCCTCTCGCCGCCGATGTTGGAGATAAGCTTTGGCGATAGTAGCCTCATTGTGATAGACCCGCTGGTGTAAGAGGCGGCATGTAGCCGAGAAGGAATGGATCTCTTCCAATTCGCATTGTACCAGGATCTTCACTAGAACATCCACGGGAAGCTTCTCCCAGGCAGTGCGAGTGTTTCTCGCAGGCTTTGAGATTCTATGTTTTGCGTCAGCGGGTGTCACAAGTGGTTTGTTGACATATGGGTCTGCGATTTACATGGGAGACTTTCTGGGCCGCTGAGACGACGGATGCCGTCTGGCTTGCCGCACGACTTGGCGCAGGTGTTCAAGGAAATGGCTCATTGTTAATAGGGGTCAAGACCACCGAGACTTGGACTTCAATGATGTTCAAGAAGTCCGCTTGGCGCTCATTTTGAAAGGCAGGATTGAGATTGTGATTATTCAGCTACTCCATCGGCCTCTTGGGGAAATGCTTAGCCGGATGAAATCAGATATGGGTCCGATCTTCGCTTGGTGGACCCGACTCGCGTTGGATCACCACTCTCTCCAAAATGTGTCACCATGACCCAAAGGATAACGATACAAATTGCTGCATGTGGTTGTGTCGGTGCTGAATTTGAGATGAGGCCGGCCGCGAATTATGCGTTGCGGCGGCTCACAACAAATCCATGATTCAAACACAACAAGTGCAACAATGTGTACTCCGCGCCAGCCCATCGACCCGAGACGCGATCGAGTGGGGTACGATATCGTCACAGTGGACACCATGTCTCGCGTGCTGAAACAGTGGCAACCCTCATTCCTACACGTTCAGGTGTGGATCGCCATCATTCGTGTACTGGTGCTGGAAATCCTCAAGCAACCGATCCCACTGCGTCCAATCCATGGGGCAGAAATCGCTAACCTGGTCCAGATCAAGGGTTCCGAGTCCCTGTCCATTAGGAAAGACTGCCTCGACGAGCTGATCCGAATCTCGGCTGCTAACGCCTATCGGGGCTTCTTCGTAAGAGATTTCTGCACTGAGATCCTTAGCGGCCAATTGCTGCTTGCCCCGCATGTCGCAGATTGTAGACACAATAGCAGGACATGGAAGAGGAGGCATGCTACAACGAGCCCGCTCCGCTGCATGTGCCTTCCAAGACTTTAGGATCAAGTTCTGCAAAGCCACATTGAAAGCTATTCTCTGTTGTCGCGCCTGCAACCTGCGAAAATGTCGACTACAGATCCGGTCGATGAGGAACCATGCCCTGTCCGACTCTTCCCCATCGACACGATTCCGTAACTCATAGAGCATGTGTATCAGCGGTGTCCAGGGAATGTGATTCTCCACATGCCACTTATACCGCTGCGTGATATCGCTCGTCTGCACAAGATCACAGTTCTCGGCCATGCGCACGCAGTTTGAGAAGATTCGATCTTGATCGGACTGTGAATTATGACTTCCCTGTTCAGCGTGTTGGCGAGGGTGATGTGCAGAGAAACGGAGCAGAGATGTGATCGCATGGATCACGATGCTAGTCATCTGGTGCAGCGGGATCGAGGTGTCGCAGTATTTCAGGTATTTTGTCTCGTAGATCTGGCTAAGCGCATCAATCGCCCTATCCTTCTCAGCTAGTGAGATTGCCGAATTGCTCAAGAAGCTTTGACCCGTTGGCAGGGGGCCTGACTTTCCCGACCATCGAGCAAGCCACTCGCCAAATTCACAGCGGGCGAGGCAGAAGATCATTTCGGTCGCTCCACTATGTTCACGAGGCCTTTCCGTCATCCGCGGGTCTAGATCGCAGTCATTGACATTCGCCGGACGCTGCACATCGGCAGCCATCAGAGATGTTTGTGCAGCAATGCCTGTAAGCTGTGCCGTGGTAGCGTCTAATATACTCAGCTGAAGCCAAAGGCGTCGACGCATTTCGGTCTCGAAGATAGAAAGGCCATGGTGGGAGCCATCTCGATGGAGTCCAATACGCTGTGCCACCCGGATAGCGACACCGCAAAGAGACCAGATTGACTGTGGATCCGAGAATGCTCGCATTGCAAGCTACAGGCCATGGTTAGACATATGACCGACCTGGCTTCAGATACGCGCTTCAAAGCAGAAAGACGAGCACTGCCCATAGTTCCATGCATGTTAGAAAATGGGCACGTACCAAATACAACAGAAACGCCTGAAGAACCACAACATCCGACGTGCGTAGAATGCCAGCATTCGAGAGAGCAAGTCGAGCTCCCCGACGGAAGCGAGACAAAAGGACAGTCTTGCTGTCTCCGAAAGCCTGCTGGACGTCATGCGGGGCCATCGAGATCAGCGCGATACAGTATATACAGAACAGAAGTGCTTCAAGCCCTTTCGGGACTGCGCTCAGATCCCCGATGGCATCGATGATATGCTGCTGAGCTGTGGGTCTATGCAGGATTTTGATCAAGGGGTGTACGTTCTCCAGAAAGACCTGCCAGAGCTTGAAGATGTGCAACGGCTGGGGATGTAGGTCCGTGATCTGCGTCTTCGTGCGTGCACCGAGAATAAGAGAGGACTCGTCATCTGTCCCCTCTAACGACTGGTCCGAATCACTGTAGACCGACGCATCGCGTAGCACGTCCTCCGCGGGTGGCAGCTAGAACGATTTAGCATTCACGAATAATCGATCTAGAAACTTTGGGTCTTTCCATACCTCTGTGCTGATACTTGACCACATATTCCTAGCCGGCCAGTCAGCTAATCCCACCCCGAGGCATCTAGTGTTTGCTACACATGACCTAACTTTAACTTACCCATCGACATAGACCGACCTCCCCCCTTCTGTAATCAACATACCCGGATCATTCCCCGTGGGCACAAGAGACGTGTTCGACATGGTCATGGGCGAGAGCAGCCCCTGTGTATCACCCCTAGGGCCAGACGAGCCGGTGTCCTGTCTGGAACGTCGGAGGCGCTGTGGACTGGCTGGACGATGGGCCTCATCCGAGGGGCGCCGCTTGCGCCGTCGTGGAGGCGGATGTGCTCGATAAATGCATTCAGTTCCATTCTTCGCGCACGCGGAGCAAGGGTCCTGGCGATCACATCGGACTTTGCGCCTGTTACAGACCACGCAGGACGGGAATTTGGACGTCTCGGCCCGGGCAGCTAGCGGGGTCTTTTCGGGGGTACCTGAGTCTACCATTGCTGGATAGAATAGATTCTGGTCGATATCAGGGCATTTTAGGAGGGTATGAGATAGGGTGATGCTCAATTGCCACGTTATATGGGCGATTTTGGTCGGAAGGGTTTGGGTGGGATGGTGAGAGGTGCGGATGTTGGTGCCACTGATGTGGTCGGGTTTGCGGATATATTTCGGGGGAGGTTCCGGCGCGACAGATCAACAAGGCCTGGGCCATCCGGCGGATGAACCTAAATCTCGAAGACCCGACAACTTCCAGATTGCTTGTGACAGATTTTCGGTATTCCCGAAGTAATTCTATTTATTCGCTGCATGAGAAGGTACTAATCAAGGTCTAGCAACACATCAGATTGCGATGCCTTTCCCCAAAAGGGCGTGTCGACACCGTGAATAGAACACGCCAGGATTCAAGCTTTAGACTGAAAATGCAACTACTTCCATCTCGTCTGCCCAGCAGATCCAAAGATAGGCGCTAACAAACGATAAACACAACAAACCCATGCACAACGACAGCCTGCGTTCCTTTCAGGTGGGGTATCCAATACAGACAAATATTCATAAGTCATCACGGCTGCATCCGCAACACGAATACAGGTCCCGTTCACCGTGTCGGGATAAAGTGCTGAGAGTCCTTCTCCTGCTGACTGAACGACTCTCGGAATGCAGCAATGGCAGCAACGATGGCGATCGCGATGAACGCGAGGGAAATGAAGGACCAGAGCACCCCCCAGCACTGCGAAGAGCCACCATACCGCTTGGCGAACTGGCTGGCGTCCGAGGTATTCACTTTGCGAAGGATCAAGTCGTCACACTATCCCGAGAACAATGATCAGTACCGAACGAGGCAAACAAATACCCCACGACCACTCAGGGACAAAAGAGACTTACAATATCCCAGACACTATAAAGGGCCGACATAACACCGATGAAGAGCTACGTGGCAGATCCAATCAGCCGCGAATTCCCCCCCCCTCTCAATCTAAGGGAAAGACCTACCACCACCCATTTCAGAGCCTGGCCATGGGCGATGAACCAACACGCGACCAGCAGCCCCACGGCCAGGAGAATCGTGACGATCGTGAGCCAATCCTTGCGCGCCCACCACAGGGTGAGCAGAAAGCACACCCCCAAGACGATGCTGGCGACCTTGCTGGCGACGATGTCGAACCCGGCGAAGATCAACAGCGATCCGATGATCGACGAGCCCAGATAGCCGGCGGGCAGGGTCACGGCGCTGATTCCGCCCGACATGTGCGTGACGCCGCCCTCGTGCGGGTCCAGCGAGATGCTTTTGACGCGGCCACCGGTGCAGCATGCGGTGATGGCGTGGCCGAACTCGTGGAATGCGATGACGAGCATCTTGATTTTTGGTTTCGGTCGCAAGTCAGCAAGAAGAAACCCCCAGAAAGATGCGAGGAAGGCAAGATTGGATTGCAGCTAAGTTCGGCGTTCGTGGAATTTCTCCTCACCTTGAACGGCCAAAGCGACCAGCGAACATAGGGCAGATTCCAAAGCAACGCAATGACAACAACGTACGCTCCCATCACCCCGAGGGTCACTGCCTGGGCGTGGGTGACGCTGAGATCGCGCTTCATTAGATGCGGCCCCGCTGAGTGATAGGACCGCTGATCGAGGAGCATGTAAGACGGTGCCATGGTGGATGGAAGACTGTCCTTGCGTAGTAACAAGGAACGGAGTAGGCTATAATTTGTCGCGCAGTGTTCAAGAGAGCCACCGCAGAAGGCGTTCGAAGAAAGTATGAGTATTTATCTGTCTGAAAAGTCTGGGCTCTCTTTTCCTCACATGAGCGAGCGGTTTGGTTGCCTACGCGTTCTTTTACTACCCGCCGTGTAAATTCTTTACCCGACTGGGTTTAGCGTGTGGCTGGGGCACGGGGTACGAGTATTTTTAGTTCCGCTTTTTACGTGGCGGTGGACAATGGAAGAAGAAGAAGCTGTTGCTTGCATTCTCTGCACGGCAGATGTCATTCATATTCTTTTATTCAAGAAGACGAGTGTGTAAAGACAACATTTTCCTTATATACCGATTGTACGTATCACAATCCCATTACAACGACATGGTCAAGGCCTACAATCGTTTGAATGATAAGGATGGTTCTACTGCCCCAATCTTCAGGCCCAACCTTTAAATCGATCCACCCCACCCGCCGCTTAATGTCTGAACTCCACAACTCTATGTTCTCTGGCAACTCTACACAGTAAAGTTCATAGCAACCCGTCTGAAAAGAAAGACGGACACGAATCTCGGCCATTAAGCAAAACGAATAACACGCTCAAGGTGGGACAGTCTCGTCGTCAGCATGCAGGAGCCAGAATGCCAGGAAGTAACGATGGAGGGGGGTGTCTAGAGCAACGATGGCAGAGTGGGTGGGTCCTTTGGCCTATTCAGCCCTACAGCAGGGTGAACTGCGTCTCGGTGGCGGAAGGATCTAGCACGTAGTCTAGGTATCTACTAGTCCTGGAAGAATAGGCTAGTCGCTGTAGGCGCATCGCCTTCTTTAGATTATGGGGGTTCACTGTCGCATTGGCATGCATCTATTGGTGAGGTGGGCAGAAGCGGAGGTAGTATGTTTTCTCGGGCGGGATCCGCGCGTAGGTTACCTTGCAAGTCCTGTCCCTTCGATCCGATCGTGGAGAGTTGGAGTCACTATGCTGATAGACGTTTAAGTTGATCCTGTTTTGTATGAAGATGGGCGATAAGTAGGGACAGTATTTGAAGTATCTGTGAAAATGGGAAGTAAGCAATGTCGTGTACTGTTGACCGCGATTCATTGTAGAGAAGAGCCACCAAGGAGAGGTACTGTACCGAGATAAAGCCACTCACTGGCTTACTTAATTTAACTATGAGGTAAGTTAGTTACTGCACCTTGCAGGCTCAACCCCTAGCTACGGTGGGCTACTCATGCCAATTTGCAATAACCCAATTCTGGCGACAATACTGGTTTAGCCTTCCAAGCTGCCTAATTTAAACAAAATTACACAACTAGCTTGCCGTACTAGCACACAGACAAGTAAGCTCCTATAACGATACTGAAAGGGAAGGGGTCTAGGTGTATATACAAAGAAAAATACTCAATATGCGACTTCCACAGAGTAGAGATTAAGTTATACTCCATGGGATTGTAGCTTTTATAGCACTCCGGGTGGCTGACGATGATAGTAACAACATAGTAAATTTGATTCTGGGTGGTATCCTCACTAAATCAGGGGCATTACTCATCCCCAAGAACAGAGTAGCCCAGGTAAGGGCCGAAGGAAAGCAAACGTGAGCTGATCAGATCCGAGGTATCATGTCCGGGGAATCATCACAATATAGCATAGCGCCAACCAAGCTACGCCCGCCCCGGCAACCTATCCAGCCAAAACATTCTCGCCCACCAGGTCATAAGGGTAACGTCAACGCCATCCAAGGCAAAATCATCAAGTCATAACATCCTGCCAGCACCCCCCTCAAGAAAAAAACATAAGAAAGCAGGGAAAGAGTAAAAGCAACTCTAACCAACAAAATCAAACAAGACTCCCCCCGCCCTTCCCCACCCTCGCGCTCCCCTCTGTCTTCCACACCGTCCATGCCCCGGTGATCATGACTTTCAACCCGAAGGCAAACCACAGGCTGCTTGCTAGGCTGGCTACCTTGGAGAGCCCACCGGCAGTCATGGCACCCAGGAAAAGGGCCAGGAACGCCCCGACCCGACGGTCCCGCTTGGGGTTCTTCCGGGCGAGCAGGTTTGGGTCCACCAGGAGATCACACAGCAGGCTGGTCAGCACCACCGTTGGGATCTCGTCAAACTCCAGGATGCGCGAGGCGCAGACCTGCCCGCCCGCTTGGAAGGCCAGGAGCGAGATGGGGATGATCTGCATCCATTGGATTGGCGCACGCGGATCTTCGGGGCGGGGCGAGACAATCCTGAGCTCCACGAGGAGCGCGGCGACCAAGAGGCAGATCGACTGAACCGCAAAGGAGAGGATGAGGGAGGAGCGACGGCGGGGTGGGCCGAGGAGGCGAGACGCCTGGATGAAGATGATGTTGCTGGCGATGAAGGTACAGAGTGCGATGAGGGACTTGGCCCAAAGGTAGGCTGGGTATCTCGGTTGCCCAGAGGCACCGAGGGCGATGAAGACGGTGTTCCCTGGACAACAAGGAGTTAGGAGGCTGAGACAGATGTGACGTGGGGATTGCTGTATCCGAGATGTAGAACAAAGTAGGACATGGTTGATACATACCGGTTTGCATGCTAGAGAAGCTGCCCCAGGCATTGAAGGACAGTCCGTCCACCAGGCCACTCACGAACCCGCAGACGATCAAAGGTATATCGGCATAAGCAATATCGATCTCGGACTGGAGATGACGAGCTAATCTGCCGTAGAAGGTTGTCTCTCCGTCGTCGTTCGATTGAGCAAGGGAGACAATCGTGCTGTTGCCTGAGGACCAAAGGCCACCTCGGTCCTCGCTGAACTGCAGATGTCTGGAATATGCCGTGACAGCTGCCGGAGCGGGCTGAATGTCAGCGGCGGGAGATTGATGCATGATGAACTGAGACAGGCACCCAAGACCAGCGCCGATGAAGAGAAGAATGGTTGAGAAGCTGCCGCCTTCATCCTTGGAGCCAAACCATGGCCATCCCTATATACAGCCGCCTTTCGTACAAAGTTTGCTATCCCCACCATACTGCCTCCACGCCAAGGCACTGATAAGAGCCAGTGCAACCATGTGTCCGTGATATTTTCGTCTGGAGAGACGCATGCCTACCAGAAGCCGCGGATGTCGTGGTACACCGCCGAAGCAGCGGTTTCAGATATCAGCCCAATGTCCATCGCATACCCGCATCATCCTGGCGCGACACATGGGTTTGGAGATGGATATACCATGTCCAAATCAATCAGGCGACAGCAAACTCGGTCTCCGTCTGCATGATATTGGACATATCACATCGTCTGCTAGAGGGAGCCGCTTGGCAAACCCTTGGCACAGGCTTGTAACTT